ATTAAAGCCTATGAGAACAAGACTGGAAATGCAATCCTACCTATGCCTCTCACAGGCAAAACAGTGTCATAATAATTGACAAATAAGTAGGCTTTTATTTATAGATGTCTTTTGCATATTTAATTTTCTTTTATGGGAAGATGTGAATCTTTGCTATATAAAGATAATTAAATTTATTAAATGATACCTTTTATTACATGAAAGTGTGTGGATATACATATATTTGTATATATATGCATATGTATATACACACAAATACAAATCTACACATATATATATACACCTATATATGTATATGTGTAATATATTTATATATTTACATATATACTACACATATGCATATGTAAATGTGCATATGTATTAGCTCATAACAGTTTCTTCAGATATTTTTGGTAAACATTTTCTTTATTATTTTTCACCAAGTTATCACAAGTACTTTAATAAAAATATTTATTTGCAAGTTTTCTTTCCCAGAACTATAATTGAACTTTTACTATTAGGAATAAGAATACCACAGAGAAATAGAGGTGCTGTAATTTCAAAGTGAAGTATCACCCTTAACAGAAAATGATGAATTTGGTAGGGTATTTTTAAAAGGAAAGGCAATGTTCTGTAGTAAGAGTGTTTACAGTTTTCATATTCACTGCATATTGAAAAATCATTAAACTCTGTACTTTTTATTGCTTTCTAAAGAAACCCAAAATATATCCAGAGTGCATACTTACTCAGGTCATTTGTCTGAATGAATTAGTATTTGCATTTTCAAGGTTCATGTTGTGAACATTTTCCCATAGTGTTATTTAAAAGACGTACTATGTTTAAAAGATTGATAGAAAATAAAATGTTTATGAAAATAGATATTCATATAAAACTCCTAGAAGATGACATAGGAGAAAATCTAAATGGGATGGGTGATGCCTTTTTAGCTGTAACACCAAAAAGCACACACAATCCCTGGAAGAAATAATTGATAAACTGGACTTCATTAAAATTAGAACTTTTGGATGTGTGAAAAACACATTGAAAAGTATGAAAAGAAAAGCCACACACTGGGAGAAAAATATTTGGAAAAGACACATCTGATAAGGGACTGTTATCCAAAATATACAAAGAACTGTTAAAGCTCAACAATGAGAATACAAACAACCCAATTAAAAAATGGGCCAAAGGTCTTAACAGACACTTTGCCAAAGATATACAGAAATACTTATTAGGTATATGAAAAGATGCTCTACATCCTGTGTCAGCAGTGACATGCAAATTAGAATGCTGAGATACCACTACACATGCGGTAGAATAACCAGCCTGTGGAAGACTGACGAATACCAGTGCCGGCAAGGAGAAACAAGAGCTCCCACGCATGGCTGGTGGGAATGCAGAGTGATGGAACCACCTGGAAACAGTTTGGTAGTTTCTTACAAACCTAAACATAAATGTATTATATGATCCAACAATTGCACCCCTTGACATTTACCCAAAGGAACTTAAAACTTAGGTATACAAAAACTTGTGCATGGATGTCTATAGCAGCTTATATGTCTATAGCTTTATTTATAATTGCCAACTTGGAAGCAATCAAGGTATTTTTTAGTAAGCAAATGGATAAATAAACTGTGGTACGTCCAGATGATGGAATATTATTCAGTGGTAAAAAGAATTGCTCTGTCAAGCCATGAAAAGACATGGAGAAAGCTTAAATGCATATCATGAACTGAAAGAAACCAGTGTGAAAAAGTTACATACTCTATGATTACAACTATTTAACATATTAGAATCTGCAAAACTTCGGAAACAATGAAAAGATCAGTGGTTTCCGAGGGTGGAGGGCTGGTAGAGATTAATACAACATACAAGATTTTTAGGGAAATGAAAATAATTTGTGTATTATAATGATAGGTATATGTCATTATGCTTTTGCCTAAGCCCATAGAGCATACAACACCAAGAGCGAAACCTAAAGTAAACTATGGATGTTAGGTGGTAATGATGTATCAGTGTTGGTTCATCAAATGTCACAAATGTACTGCTGTGGTAGGGGTGTCAATAACAGAGAGGCTATGCATATACTGGAGCAAGGAGTAAATGGAATATCTTTGCATCTTCCACTCAGTTTTGTGTGAACTGAAAATTGCTCTAAGAAACATGGGGTACCTGTGGCTCAGTCAGTTAAGTGTTTGACTCTTAGTTTCAGCTCAGTTCATGATTTCACAGTTTGTGAGCTCGAGCCCCACATCAAGCTCTACACTGTGCAGAGCCTGCTTGGGATTCTCTCTCTCCCTCTCTCTGCCCCTCCTCTGCTTGTGCTTTCTCTCTCTCTCAAAATAAACAAATAAACTTAAAAAAATGACACATGCATAAAACTCTTAGTGTTTCTTTCCAAAATTCTTTGACTTACTGTCTTACCCATCTCAGACCATAGGTATTCTAACTTTGCTGTTAAACCCAATGAAGTCACCCTGGACTCCTCTCTCGTGTCTTTAAGTCTGTTAGGGAAATCCTATTGGCTTCAACATTACAACAGACTAAAGACAATTACTTTCACTACCTCCAATGCTACCACCCTAGTCTGAACTGCCAACATCATTGCCTTGCATACTGCAACAGCTTCCTACTAGTGCTCAGCTTTCCTCCTGTCCTCATTATGGTCATTTCTCAATACAGCAGCCAAAATACCTTTGAAACTAGTCAGATTCTGTCTCTCTTCTATAGTAATTCACCATTTCACTCAGAGGAAAGCCAAGTCTTTAAAATGGCCCTCAAGGTCCACCTGATCTTCCATCCTTTCGTACCATGTATTAGGGTTCTCCAGAGAAACAGAACCAATTTATGTATGTACGTATGTATGTATGTATGTATGTATGTATACATACACACACACATCTATATCTAAAAATCTATAGATATCTAGATAGGTAGATACACACAAATATATCTACACACACACACACACACACACACACACACACACACACAGATTATATTATGAAGAATATCTCATGTGATTGTACAAGCTTAGAAGGCCCCCGAATTGCTCTCTACAAGAGAAACCCCAGGAAAGTCACTGGTATGGCTCAAGTCCAAAACCCCGAGATTTCAGCAAATAGCCAGTGGTGTAAATCTCAGCCCTAGGGGAGGAGACCAATGTTTTAGCTCAAGCAGTCAGGCAGAGAAGGGGTGAATTCTCCTTTCCTCTTCCTTTTGTTCTATTCAGCCCTTCTAGGGAATGTATTCTGTGCCTCCATGTGAGAGAGGGCCATACACTTTCCTGTGTCCACTGATATGAATGTTATTTCCATATAAAGGCAAGTACTCCCAGAAATAATGTTTAGCAAATACCTGGACATTGTGACCTAATCAAGTTGGCACAAAATTAGCCATCACACTTTATCTCCTGATGATCTCCCTTCTTTTTGCTTCAGTCACAGGAATATCTTTGGTATTTTTCAAACAAACCAGGCTTGCTTCAGCCTCAGGGCCTCACTGCAAGCTTTTCCTCTCATCCCGGAAGCCTTTTTCTGTGGATAGCCACAGGGAAAACTCACTCATCTACATCTACTCTTAGCTTAAATCTCACTTTCTCAATGAATCCTCCTCAGATTACCCCACATAAAATTGCAATTTATTCCGTGCTCTAATTCCTCCTGTCTTGCTCTATTTTTATCACCTTTTTCACCATTTTTATCACTATTTTCTTATCACCTTCTATGTATTTAAATTACTTATTTATTTTATTTGCTACTGGTAGTCTGTCTTCCCAGCCCTCCCTTCATCTAGAATGTAAGCTTAATCATGTCAGGGAGTTTAACTGCTTTGTGCCTTGAGAAATGTCAGGCATATATTGATAACTCAACAACTATTTGATGCATAAAAGAATGGCTCTATGGGACGCCTGGGTGGCTCAGTCAGTTAAGCACCAACTCTTGGTTTTGACTCAGTCATGATTCAGTTTGTGAGATTGAGCCCTTCATCAGGCTTCACACTGACAATGTGGAACCTGCTTGGGGTTCTCTCTCTCCCACTCTCTCTCTGCCTCTCCCCTGCTCTCACTCTCTTTCAAAATAAATAACCTTTACAAAAATAAAGGAGCGACTATGCTGCAAAGAAGCTTTTTAGGCATCATTTTGTGTGTTTTGATCTCTGAATATGCAAGGATGAACCAGAGCCCTGCCTTCAGGCAGCTAACAAGGAAAGCTGACATGTCCATAAATAATAACAATACAAGATACGAAGTATACATTATGAGAGATTTAAATCAACTATTCAGAGAAGGGGAAGCCATTTTCAACCAGAGCAACAGGAAAGAGTATGGAAACACCTAATTGGGCCTTGAATCTGTAGAAATGGAAAAGAATAGCATTCCAGGTAGAAGAAACACCCCCCCCCAATCACTAATGTGCTAAAGCACAGGGAGTAAGCAGAAGAAAACACAGAGTAATGAAGGAGCTCAGGCTTTGAGCCAATATGCCTAAATCAGTATGCCAATACTATTCCCAAATTCTGCAGCTAAGTAGCTGTGTGACCTTAGGCAAATTATTTAACCTCTCTGAGCTTCAGTTTTCACATTTATGGTATTGGGATAATACCATCTAGCTTAGAATTTTACTGTGAGGAAATCATGAACAGAAAGCAGCTAGCCCAGTGACTGGCCCCCAGTGATCACTCAATAAATGAGAGCTATTATGGGAGTGTAGTTTGACTGGAGTACAGATGAAGTGTTTCCCTCAACAATGCCATTTTTCCAACAGGAAGCAAGGCCAAAATATACTGCATTTACTCTGCACTCTTTGAGAACATTCATCTATTGTCCAACTTGAAAAATGAAGCTGAAAATGACTAGTCTTGTATTAGAAGCATAAAACGCTGAAGATGTGATGCATTGGCCGATCAGGCATAAGATTGCTTTGAATACAGAAGGAATAAAAATATATGTGTGTTATATTTCTGCTGAAGATTAGTTTTACTTACCCACCAGTTTCTTTCTTTGTTTGTTTCTTTTTCAGTTGCTCCTACAATTCAGGAAATTAAATCTGGCACCGTGGCCCCGGGACGCAGTGGATTGATAAGATGCGAAGGTGCAGGTGTGCCGCCTCCGGCCTTTGAATGGTACAAAGGAGAAAAGAAGTAAGGACTTTGTGATTATTACTGTGTTTCAAGCACTTTGAGCTAATGTGTTTGTGTTTCAGATACTTACTTTAAGCCATTTCTTTAACTGGCTTGAATGATTCTCAGCAGCCTCCTCGCAGGCAGGCAAACTGAAGGGGCCCACATGGGAGGGATGAGTAGCTAATAGCATCCAGAAATGTCCACTTTGGTTTCATAGGAGCTCAGAAATCCCTGCAAATCCCATATTACTGATGCATTTCATTTCTTCCCTTCCTTTCTGAACCGGAACACCATTGCTTTTTCTGGCAGCCATGTTTACTTGGAAAGTAAACTAGCTTTTAAAGGACTTGGGCACAGCTTCCATGAGTGCACTCCAAAAGCAATCGGAGCTGCTGTCTCTGCCTGGCTTCCTTGATAAGTCTCAACCCTTTCACCTGCCTTATTTTCCCACAAGACGTTTTAACATTTCATTTCATAGAACACTGTGTTTTAGATATTCTGTCACTAGAGGGCCTGTAGAGGAGACAAAATACATAGTTAAAGGACTAACCAAGGGGATTTTAGGGCTACTGTAACTTTAGCTCTATATGATTGTCCCCTTGAGGAGCCCCAGGAAAAGCCTTGACAAGAGCTGTTGAGCAAGAGAAGACAGGACTCGACTACTTTCTCTTTACTTTCAACTGGTAGGCTCATTCAGACCTCTTCAGCTGCTCATATCAAGCCATCAAAGAAGAATGGGACCCCTGTGGGTTAACTGGAAGATGTAATGCAGACGGGAGGATATTATCTATAATATATATTTTTTGTTTCAAAACTTGGGAGGAATGTGTTCAAGAAAAATGTTAAATTGGACCATATGAAATTGCCATGTTTAGCCAAAAAAGCTGAATATTGGCAACTCCATGCTGCTCAACATATATGCATGGAGTTTACTTACTTATACCATCGCTCATGACTAATTATAGCTAAATGTCTGAACTGGTGAAATGACATTAAGAGCTTATGGGGTGTCTGGGTGGCTCAGTCGGTTAAGCATCGGACTTTGGCTCAGGTCATGATCTCAGGGTTCATGGGATCGAGCGCTGTGTCAGGCTATGTGCTGACGGCTGGCTCAGAGCCTGGAGCCTGCTTCAGATTCTATGTCTCCCTCTCTCTCTGACCATTCCCTGCTCATGTTCTCTCTCTCTCTCTCTCAGAAGTAAAAATTAAAACATTAAAAAAATATTAAAGAGCTTAGATATTGCCATAATGGATTACATTGGATGTGACATAAGCAGGAGCTTTTTTTTTTCTTATACTGTAATCAAAAGAGCATTTGTAGAAGACCTTCTCCCTCTTCAACATCAGGCTTAACAATAAAGGATATCCCTCTAACTATCTAATTTGATCTGAATAACTGACTCTGCTTTTATCTAAAATTGCAGCTATTTTTATGCGACCTCTTTCACAATTTGGTGTGCTCCGTTTCTAATTATTTTCACTAATTAATGTTTTTACTAATTCTAAATCTACCTCTTGTGACTTCATAGAAGCCCCATATTTTTATATACTTAGAAATAGATAAACTGGTCCGCAGTCACCCTTGCCCCACTGTATAATATCGTATATCGGCCAATATAACATCTCTCAGATTGTGATAATCCAGATTGAGAAGTTTTCAGTTTGTACTTATTTGGACAAACAGGTAGAGGTTCCCAAACCTCTGAAAGTTATGAAATCCTTTGTTCAAATATGATCTTATATGGAAGCCCAGTAAGTAATACCTATGAAAGCAGGACTTCTCTGGTAGATGTGGGGTGAGTGGAGTTTCAATTCCAGCTGCTCAGAACCCTCCTTCTAACAGACTGTCCTTGTAAGCCCCCCTCGCCCCCCAAATCCCTGGTTCTCCACAAAGTACAATTTAAATAGTGACAAACTATTTAGCATAGCTTTTGAAGTCACTATTAAATCTGCCATACCTTTCTTACAGGCTAACAGAATTATCCCTTGTACTACAAGTGAGAGCTCCTTTGTTAAAATCCTTGTGGTTTCTAGTATTTTGCGAAATGATGTCCTGAATTTTTTTTGTTTCTCTCTTTTCCGTCCCTAAATTCAGCAACCATTGTCAGAAAAGGCTACAATAATCCTTAGTCCACTTTCTTGGCCTATAGCAAAAACAGCAAAGAACCCATTGGTGTCCATAGTCATAGCTTCAGTGATTTTTTTTTTCCCTACTGGAGAGATGGACTATAGCTTTTATTACATTTTCAAAGGAGGTTAGAACCATTGCTAAAAAAAAAAAAAAAAAAGTGGATTGATTCTCCCCAGTCGATGCCCTTTCCCAACACACTCACACACCTAGAGAAAATCTGGGAGCTGTGAAAATCAGATGCACCTGTCAAAGGCAAACACACTTTGATTTCAGAGTGAAGTGCACATTTGTCATTTGTTCAGGTTATATTTAAGGAAATACCCAAATTATCAAATACCACAAGAGTATATAAATTCCTCCCAAAATTACTGGGAAGCAAATTTGAGAATGTGCAAAGAGTAGGAAAGGGAAGGCTTCCGGTTGCTGAATGATAGTTGTTACATTCCCTGAGTGGGTTTACCGTGCTATCCTCTGGGCCTACGCCGTTCAAATATTTATCTCATTAAAATGAAAAACTATCCATGTAAAAAGCACCTGCTGTTTGACAGGCAGGGTCTAAATTGTTAACAAACATTAGCCCTTTTTATTTTCACAGCAAACTGATAAGATAGATACTATTATTATTCTCGCCTTTGCTTGGAGGAAACCAAAAGGATTGTTTTTGAGTCATTTACACAAAATCAGACAGTTAGTGGCAGAGCTGGGATTTGAACTCAAGAAGTCTTGCAAATCTTCATACAGAGTCCATGCACTTAGTGTAGGTCATGGCACTTCAGAGACTATCAAAAATAATTTGAAATGTCAATACTAAATGGCAAGGGTAAAGGCATCGTGGGTCATTTATGAATTAGGAAAATAAAAGACTGCACATACAAACAAACCCTCACGTTTTCTGAATTTATTTAGTCAAAGACACAGAAATAATGGAGTCAAGGTAAACACACAAAGAAGAAACAGATACAGCACGTTTCCGAACTGTTTTCTTAACCTCGGGGTCACTAACAGAAGCATGAAGCTGTCAGAAACCCTGTCAGAGTGTACCAGAGTTTTTATAAGATGTGGAGAAGTTTTGTTTCCTAGAGATCTTTTATACTTGGAGCTTACAAAAATATTCAGAAATAACTTACTCTCTTCACTTCTACTTAAGAGAATGTTTCTGGGGCGCCTGGGTGGCTCAGTCAATTGAGTGTCCGACTTCGGCTCAGGTCATGATCTCACGATTTGTGGATTCGAGCCCCGCGTCAGGCTCTGTGCTGACAGCTAGCTCAGAGCCTGGAGGCTGTTTCAGATTCTGTGTCTCCCTCTCTCTCTGACCCTCCCCTGCTCATGCTATCTCTCTCTCAAAAATAAATAAAACATTTAAAAAAAAAAAGAATGTTTCTAAAAACTCATCTCTTTTAAATTAAGATCTTCAAAGCCAGCCCTTCATTCAAATAGAATACAAGTAAACAGAAACAAATTTAAAAAACAAAAACAAACAAAACAGACTCAGTACCTGAACACCCTTAGTTTTATCTCTACCTATAGTTCTTCCACATCCTACAAAATTATTTCTATGTACTGAAAATAATCTAAAAACCTTAAAAAAAAACACCTGCAGAATAAAGCACAATTTAAAGAAAAGAAAGAAACAAATGCTTACTGAGGACAAATCACTTTCCAGGTTCTTCAAATTCTTTTATCTCACTTATTCTTCAGACGTCTGTGAGACACAATTTATTGTCCTCAATTTACTGATGACAGAAGTGAGACAACAAGAGACTTAACCTATCCAAGAGCATTCAACTTCAAAGATGCCATCAAGACACATTCTATTGTTAACCTCTCAGTCCACATTGTTTCTGTTGTATACAATGTCACTCTTGGTTATCTATTGCTAAATACCAAATTAGTCCAAAACTCAGCACCAGTAAGCATTTATTATCACAGCTTCTGTGGGTCAGAATGGGAGCAGCTTAGCTGGATAGTTACGGCTCAGGGTTTCTCATCAGGTTGCAGTCAAGTGTCACCTGTACTGGTCATCTGAAGGCTTGACCAGTGCTAGCGGATCTGCTTACACGCCTGGCAAGTTAGTGCTTGTTATAAGAGAGAAGGCCTCAGTTAATCACCATATGGACCTCTTCACAGAGCTGTTTGACTCTTCTTGACATGGTAGTTGACTTTTCCCAGAGCTAGTGGTCCAAGAGTGAGGAAGGTGGAAGCTGTTTATGACCTAGTTCCAGAAGTTATGCTCATTCTGTAATATCTTACTGGTTACACAGAGTGACCCTATTCAGTGGAAGGAGCAAACTGAGGACATGAATATCCAGAGTTGAGATCATCAGATACTATCTTCAAAGATAGCTTCCACACCGTCTCCTTCATGGTTGACATGGATGACAAGAAAAATAACCTTATTTTTTTAATATGAGACATATTAGCCATTTGACATTTAGTTTACTTCACTGTTTAGATAAGCATCATGAGAATGACTAAAGCTATATACTTGTTATTAAAATATTATTCTTTGGTATAAAATGGTTATATTTTTTAAACACTTATAGGCTCTTTCAGCATACCTTGCAGGGACAGTGCTCACAGATTTAATTTTGCTCCATACACATTTTGGGGAAAATCAGAGTTCAGAGCTCAATTATATAGAAAGCCAAAATTTTTAAATTATTTTCTTGATCATAGAGAACATTGATTAAAAAAGAAATAGACTCTTATATCCAGTAGAAGGGTACTTTCACAACAGGCAAAGTACTATTAAGAAAACAATGTCTTTGATGACATGAAGTTAGATTAAGCTATGGCTTGAAAACAGAATATTTATTTAGGATTAAGACTAAAAACATAAACTGAATTGTAATGGACTAATGTTTAAATTTTTTAATGTTTATTTATT